AAAGAAAGGTTGGAAGAAAGCTAAGGGCGTCCAAATAACAACATGGCACAAATCCATGGAGTCATCGACAACTAGACCAAGATATGGTGGTAGGTGTAGACTACCTGGTTGTGGTCGACGAGATGAAAGTCACTGATGTTTAGAAATTACAGTTGTAGGATTTAATTCGTCCTACAGATGTAATTCTAGAACAGTAAACGCAATACTGGCGAGCACTGAGTCTATGGTAAAGCTACAGTATGAATAAGATCAACTTGGTCTTAAACTTTATCTGTTTCTAAACATAAAAACATTTACATTAGTACAATAAATAAGGGAATTACAATTATCAAGTAAGACGAGCAAACGTACCGAACAATTTAGCGTGTCTCATGGAAATGAGTACAGTTATGAGTCACATCAATATAATAAGATAATAATGTCAATCAATTTGTAGGTCATTTACAACAAAGAAGGTTTACAGACACGTCAGGTCAGATCACGTGGTGGACGCTTAAACCACAATCTGATTGGTTAGTTATGACATAACTACAATTAGTTATAAAATAACTAACACTCACCCCGAAGCGGTCAACACGTCTAGGCCTCGTCTCCGTCGAGCTCGATTAATCGACCTCTTCCAGTAGGCATAGGTTTCGTATATCTCGGTTGATCTCTACGGTGTCTGTCTTTGTTGTAACGCTTACTTAGATAATTCCCAGCTAAATCCTATTTCTTAGTATTCTCTGACCACAATACACTGGAAAATTTCCCAAGAATCAAAAACACAGTTGAACAGGAAAAGATTATATTCCAATTAGCAAGGTTAAATGGAAATAAGAAGCCAAAGGTGATGGCGAAGGCCAAAAATAGATACAACGTTAGTTTATTTACAGCATTTACATGAGAAGCTTCTGGATATAAATCCACGTGATAGAATGGATTAGATTTAACCAATCAGCACGCAGCTAACAATACGCGAATTTTCTACCCTGTTCTCCAGGAGTCGATCAGGCGCTGATTGGATAGAAAATTAGCCAATCAGCGCGTAGCAACGTAGTCATGCTTTAATTCCATCTATGTCCCACTAACAGTCTTCGATCGAATCATCCTGAATCGGCCATCAGTGGAACAACTGACCTGTCTAACTATTGCTTTACCATAGACTCTGTGCTCGACAATATTGCGTTCGCCGTTCAAAAATTACATATGTAGGACAAACTAAATCCAACAAAAGTTACCAAGTGAAACGAACTAAAATCTCGACCAATATAGCGTGTCTTAATGAAATGAATCAAGCTACAAGTCATATCAATATAATAAGAAAAAAATGTAGCTCAGTCAGTAGGTCATTTACAACAAAGATAATTGACGGGCAGGTCAGACCAGATCAGGTGGCGAACACTTCAAAAACAGTTTGATTGATTAGTTATGGCATAACTACAATTAGTTATGGAAATAACTAACAGTTGGTATATAGGCACGTGGAGGTTTTTCTCACCATCTGGTGCACCTCTACAGCAACATCCGTTGTCAGATTTTCAAACAAGTCGTTCAAACCGAGTTGTTCAGTTCTGTGAAAACTGGACGCTGCAGGTTTTTTACCTGAGCAGTGCGTTCAATCAGCGAGACTATTATATCCGTGTCCTGTGCCGGGGGTTGTTGATCAAGGTCAAATATCTATTTCGTGCGTTTGTTTTGGCTTACGTGATGTTCTCTCACAAATTTTGGTCGGCTTTCACAAATCCAATATCATTATCACGAGCTAGTATAAACCAATAGATCTTTTCGTGTTCGATTCTTGTTCTTTCGGTACGGTTCCAGCTGTTTGAAAGTGTCCGATGGATGTGGTCTAGACACTCGATTGCCTAATCTAGTCAGTTGACTGTGATTTGTGAGTTTGTATATCCCGTGATTCGAATGAATACATTTGTTTCAGGAAAGTAGGGTTTCTAGATACCAGAAGATATCATGTTATCAGTTAGTCGCAATGTGGACAACAATGAGGAGAGAATTCTAATGCTCATAAGTAGAAGATACTAGAGCTAAGTAAATAAATGGATAATTAAGTCAATTAATTATTAGTTAAGATTGTGTGAGAGGACTGAAGTGTAGGCAAGGAAGCGGAAACAGAGATAATAATCGAGATAGATTGAGTTAGTGATCTGAGGAGTTACTAAGAAGTCAAATGTCCATTTGTAGCAAGTCTTCAGAATTTATGCTGGCGCCGTCAGTTTTTCCATACACAATATCTGGCTAAAGGCGTCCGGTCGCGCATCAGATTTGAAACACGTTCTGCTTCAATGAATCTTTTCTTGTTTATTTTTACGTGTCGATGAAAACTACTCCACTAAAGATCTATGAATTATTTGTATGACATCTTATATTGTTCATGAATAATAATAATTCATTTAAACATAATCGAGTTTCAATTATATGTAAATGAAATCTGTTTTCAGTGTGTTTTTTAACAATTTACTTATGTTTATTCATGAAATAATCTCAATAATACAAATTATAAGACTTGTTACATTTACCCCATGTTATTATTTCGTTCTCATCTCCCATTCTCTATTTCCCTTTATCTGTTTCCCTTCCGTAAGCACTACATGGTGTCGCCTCAAGAACAGATTAAAAATCTGTTCTGAATATCAGTTTCACCACAATTTTACTTGATTTCATTTCGAACAAAATTTCATCAACAACATCTTAATCAATGAAAATACTGATAAATTTATGGATGAAATCCGTCGATTTAGGTCAATTATTAATAGCTACTATTGTGGTGCGAGCTACTTATAAGTAGTTTATGACGCGAGCGTCAACGCAATGTCTGGCAACAGAAGATGGGGCAAGATCAAGAAAGGAAGAGTTAGAAAACAATTGAATTTGTATGAAACGCATGAATAGTGACAATGGATTGGTGTTTTGCAACAGGAACAGTCCAGTTCGATATGATGAACTGATACTTTGCAAATTAACGATTTACGATATGGTTTTCCGATTTTACTGAGTAACTCTGTAATTTTCGTTGCCCCACCTGTG